TTAAAATAAAAAACAAAAAGGACTGGAATGTAGCTCAATGGCAGAGCACCCCTGGGTTCAATCCCTGGTACAAAAAAAATTGTATCTAGTATCTCATATATACCAGCATAATTAAAATTTTAAAACTGTAGTAATTTAACTTCACCATTTAGAAAGATAAAATTTCTCAAAACATATAGGTTTTATAATAACTCTTGGTACATATTTCCAGTTGAAGAATAAATTTGTTTTCCCACTTTCCTTCCTTTGCTTTATCAATTATTAAGAAAGTTATTTTAGTCATTTGTTATCAGTCTCTATTTAGTTATTTCCCCTTGTGCCTAAAGTAGTTAATGATTGCCAACTAAATATATAACCAATTAAATCTGTAAATTTGTACAGATTGCATGTAAAAACTAAAAAAACTAAAACAAAACAAAAATCCCACAATACGTTAGACTTGTCATCTTCATATTTTAGCCTCTGCCCTATCTTGATAGAATGTTGTTAGAAGCTTCTCTGCTGTAGGTCTTCAAAGTATGTATGTAATGGTGGCATCTTTCCAGTGTTAGAAGTACTAACCTCTCTTACTCTTAAATAATGGCTCACATCTTATATCTTGAATTGCTTCTTGCAACCTTGGATGTGGGACAAGTGTATAATAATGAAATGAAGAAGTTCATCCTTGTACTTCTAGGGAGGCTGGGTAAGGCATTGACCACTTGTGTGGCTGCTTCCCTAAACAGAAAGAGGGAGAAAACAGAGTACAGACCATGTGTGTAATGAGGATCTGTGTTAAGGACACAGGCTTGTGGGAGGCAATGGAGCTGGAGTGGGCCCAGGGAGGATAAGTGGCTGTGCTACTTGAAGTGTTGAGTCCTTCACTGATACTGTCAGTAATCTCAACATGTGTAAGAGAAGCCAAGCAAAGTAGATTTATTTCTCTAAGCTTGACAAAGAAGATGGATAAAGAGTCTGAAAGGACCAGAGGGACTTAGGTTGGGAATTTGTACAGGGCCTGAATACTTGCATATGATGAAATTAGGAATTTGAAGCAAGTTTACATAGAGACCCAAGGTACAAGGCCAGGCACTATGGCACATGCCTGTAATCCCAGAAGCTTGGGAGGCTGAGGCAGGAGGATTGCAAGTTCAAAGCAAGCCTCAGCAACTTAGTGAGACCCTGCCTCGAATAATAAAAAGGGCTGGGGTTGTGCCTCAGTAGTTAAGGCCCCTATGTTCAATTTCTAGTATCAAAAAAAAAAAAAGAAAGAAAAAGAGAGACTCAAGGAACAATGATAGGCACATGATATAGTATCTGAGTATAAAAGTGACCTAAACTTGAATAGTTCATAAAATAAAAAGAAATAGATTCGGACAATATCTTTGCTTTGGCATGAAATGACTAACACTATAACGGTATTTAAGTAATTTTGCAAAAGCAAATGTTGGATTCTTGGACAGTATCTTTAGCAGAATCTTAAAATGAAGTGCTTCAATTAGGAAGCTGCTGCTCTTTGTATGGATGAGTGAAAATGTGCTAACTGACCATTTGGAAAAGATTTAATAGATAGAAGAGTGATGGAAAGAGACATTTGAAACACCATGCCAGTTCATTCAGGCTAACAGTTACTGCATGTAGCAAAAGTACATAGAATGTATTTAGAATACCTAGTTCCTATTTTGTTGTGTTAACCCTCCTTTTAGTATTTAGATCATTTTGCCAACACTAGGATAAAAAGTAGGCAGCTTGTCTTAAAGCCCTCTAAAAATGGAGAATGAGTCCCTACTTGATTTGTTTGTGACAGAAGTAATTAGGAGGTCTAGGGAAACTCTTTTGTTCCTTTTAATATATTCATACCCAAGGAAACTTGAGAAAAACCTAATTCTGGCTGGATTTTATATGCTTTTTGTTCTTTGATTAAGAAACAGTAGATTAAAAAGTATATTAAGAATTAGGTATTCCATGATGAGATCTATTCTTAAAAAAGTAAAAGAATGGAGATATGATGGTGAAGAATGAAACAAAAACTAATCTAAGAAAAGTTTGAGATTTGAAGGAGATGTATTTTATTTCACTTAAACGCTTAATACTTTTTAATTTCTTTCTAGTTTTGAAAATTGGATTATACGTAACTAAGTTTTTGAAAATTTGATTTTGGTACATAAATTAGACCTTATTTATAGATGCTTTGGCCAAAATGTGAAAGTGTCTTGTGTCTCAGTTTTCCAGGCCAACACTTCTAGGTAGTAAGGCCTAGCACCTTCTGCCACACCCAGTGTTTCTGTTGTTGAAAGGCACAGGGAGATGGCCAGGTTTCCATGTACTGAGGGAGGTAAGCTGGGAAGGCAAGGACAGCCTGTCCTGGTGTCCCCTTTGTCTTAACCACGTATCCTGTCAGAATGCAATCACAAGCAAATTTATTTTTAACTTATTGACCTGTTCATTTCATTTTAGGATAATCCAGTTCCCTTAAAAGCACTCATTCCTTGTAATAGAAATAGTGGTATACTCAGGGAAGGGGAAGCGTGGCCAGTGGTAAGAGGGAGATTGAGTTTTGGTTACTTTTGGCTTTTGTACAGTTTATATGTCTCTTTTATTTATATTTTTCTCTGTCTCTGGGGTTAAACACAGAGGCTGGCACATGCTGGGTAAGTGCAGTACCACTGAGCTACGTCCTCAGCTCTTATTTTATCTTTGAGATAGGGTCTTGCTAAGTTATTCAGTTAGTCCTACCTCAAACTCCCAAGTAACTGGCTTACAGGCATGAACTGCTTCACTTGGCTATATTTTATATTTTTTAAAAGAAAAATTAAAAAACCAAAAAGAGTCCCCCTTAAAAACTCCCATCTCCTGATAGGAGCCTGGGCTTTCCCATCTTACCCTCAAGAAACTTGTGTGACCTCCTTTGCACCCATTCCTGTTTTCACCCCCAGTTTCTTTTGCTATTGAGGAAAGCATTTTCTGAATTCATTGACTTGTTTTCCCCCCTCAGCTCTAATTTTATAATCTCTACCTCTTTCATAGAAGTCACCAAAGATTTTTTTCACTGAGAAATGAGTAAACTCCTTTGAAACCCAGTTTGACCTTTCTGGGTCATTTGAGATTTGTGCTGTCTCTTCCCAGCCTTTCTGAAACCATCATCTCCTGGTTCATTTTGACCCCCCCAGTCCACCTTCACACAGTCTGCATCTTTCCTGTCATTCCATTCTGCGTTCTCTTCCTGAGCCATCTCATTTCCTCTCAGGCAAGATTGCCTGTGTCAGTGGCTGTGACCTCTCTCCTGAGCTCTGCACCTGTGTGCTCATACTGGCCCACTTGGCATTCCATGGGCACCTCAGGATCCAAGTATCTCCTCCTGAACTTATTATCCATTCCCTTGTCATCCAAATCCCTTTTTTTCCCCACTTGCTATATTTTAATACTAGTATTCAAGCCAGAAACCTGAGACTCATCCTAAATTTTTCCTTYTGCCTCATAGAAGTTTGGAATTGTAGCTAGCCTTTGTGTAACACAGAGAGGTTGGCTTTGTTTCATTTTACAAATAGAATGCTAATTTAGGTAGCATCATTCCATTTGGACTTGGGAAGAATTTCACAGGTATGAATATTCTGTCCTTGTTAAAAGTGGGAGACAAATCATTTCAATTATTTCTCCKTGTTCTACAGTTCTGTTTTTGAGTCTGTAAGAACCTCTTTCAGAGGCATTGCTGCATTTGAGATTCATGTTTGGTTTTTAAATTTGAAACTAAATCATCAATTATATAATTTTGCAGAGCTTGTATTTTATTATTATAGCATTTATATTGTATTTTGTTTGTTTTTTTCCATTCAGTCACTTAAACTAATAGTATTTTTTTAAAAAAATATATTTTGTAGATGGACGCAATACCTTTATTTTATTTATTTATTTTTATGTGGTGCTAAGGATCGAACCCAGTGCCTCACACATGCTAGGCAAGTGCTCTACCACTGAGCCACAACCCCAGCCCTAAACAATAGTATCTAGAGTATGGTGCTAAACATCTGTAATTCCAGCTGCTCAGGAGGCTGAGGGAGGAGGATTACAAGTTGAAGGCCAGTCTGGGCAATTTAACAAGACCTTGTTTCTAAAATATGAAAAAGGCTGGGGGTTGTAGTTCAGTGGTAAAGAACCCCTTGGTTCTGTCTCTAGTATTGCCCCAAAATAAGTATCTCATACAAAAATTAGAATTACCTTTAATGTTGCCTTAGTTTCTTTTGTATTAAGTATATTAAAGAATCAAATAACTACTAGATTAAAATGATTAAAATTTATACCTGTTATGTGATATTTTATATCTACCATATCATTTAATTCAATAAATCCAATAACTTGGTATAGAATGGGGAAGAACTCAAAATCAGAGATGTTACTTCATTTGCCCAGATTACATTGCACTGGTGGCTGCTCCTCTCAGTGATTCCTTCTGAAATTTTTAATCTTTTTTTTTTTTTTTTTTTTTTTTTTTTTTTTTTTGTGTGTGGTACTGGCCATTGGCCAGGACCTTGCACATGCCAGGCAAGGGCTGTACCACTGAGTACCACCCCTGGCCCCTGAGGTTCTTTAGACATCAATTTGAGTGTGACCTGTGCATCCCTTAATTATACTTAAAGACTGGATTTATGGGCCTCTGTTTTTTATTGGGAAATGATTTCCACACAGTCAGTGTTTTTTGCTTGTCAGTCAGTGGCAATTTATGATGGGAGATTTGGCAGTAATTCAGTGCCATCACCTGGATTATGCATAGCTGTGAGGTGATGTAGAAGTAGATAATGAAGTTGATTACAGTACGATTTAAACAGAATTTATGTTTTGTAATTTTAATTAGTGGAAAGTGATTTTAATACAGCCTTCCAAAAATAATTACTAAGAGACAATTACTCATTGTTTTATGGGTTAATAATCTCTCTGCCTACTTGGTTTTATATTACCTAAAAGAGGGACTATCTGAAGAGTGTTATGGCCAGTAATTCAATTCTCTCTCTCTTTCTCTCTCTCAGTGCAATGAAACCTCATTCTTTTTTGAAGCTCGAAGTAAAACCGCTTGCAAGCATCTCTGGAAGTGCAGTGTAGAACATCATACATTTTTTAGGTATGTTAATTGGATAGTTTTGTTCATCATTTCTAATAAATGAAAATGGCATTTGTTTTTATAACAGGAATTGTGTCTGCAAACAGAAATTTTGAACTTTTCTCTTTTTAAATTTATTTTGGCTCAGTTCCCTGGATGGCATCATATACACATGTGTGCACATATGTACATGTTTGTATACATACATATATATATACATAACACAATGTAGACAGTACTTTTACTGTAAGAAAGGATCAATGGTAATTTCTTAAAGTTTATGTAGAAAATGCAGATTTGACTAGTACCTGTGTGGCATTGGTGGAAATCAAGTATTCTGCTGTGGACATAGTAAATTTGAAAAGCCTATGAGCCATCCATGTGGTAAGGCAATTGAGTATACAGGGCCCGGTGGAAAGGTGAAGGTTGATGGTGTAACTTTAGTAGATATTTAATAACAGAAGGGATTGGTTGAGATCAACTATGGAGAAAACAAAGAGAGGGAAACTCAGAAATCTAAGAACTGAGCTTTGGAGACAAGAAGAGCCAGCTGAGGGACATGAGAAGGAACAACCAGGAGAGGATATCATGTACTGGGAAATCAGGAATAGGGGCCAGCAACTATGTGCAGCCTTCCGGGGAGGGCAAGTAAGATGAGGACAGAGAACTGACTACTAGATTATGGGGACACTTTTTCCTTATTTCACATCCTTGTGTCATAAAGATCAGACAAAATTTTAGCAGGTAATGCTTTAAACTTTATTGCTTTATTTTTGTGTGTAAAAAAAATTAAAACAGGAATGAATTCTCCCCCTTATTCTGGGAGAATTTTGATTTGTATGGAACAATTTAGCTGAATTGCATAGTGTTGGAGAAGTATTTTTGTAAAATGACTAAAATCCTCTTTATGGTTTGTGTCAGGGGAGGAACATGGCCCAGGAAGCCTAAGACTTTGCCTGCAGGTCAGTGGGACAGGGCTGGGAGCCATGGCATTGTCTGTTGAAAGTGCCCTGGAATGGGAAGTCCATTATACAAACAAGAGCAAACCATCATATCTGTCATGAATGACTTATGAGAATCTTAGGAAGAGTAAATCAGCATAGTGACAAAATTCCCAAGATAACTTAAACAGAGAAAGTTAATTCACAACTAAAACCTCCTAGGACAATAATGTGTATGATAATTTTTAGAAAGTATGAGTATTTGGTATCATACATATGTAACATCCTAAGGTGTGGATGGGTGTCACATATGAACTTACAATAGCCAATTCCTGATTCTTTCACTAGCTTTGTTAAACTGTAATGCACTATTAAGTTTTCAATACAGCTTTTTGTTCAAATTTTGTACAAGTATCTGCATTTATGAGTCTTTGGTTTTCTTTTTAAAATTAATTAGAATGCCAGAAACAGAATCAAATTCATTGTCAAGAAAACTCAGCAAGTTTGGATCCATCGGTTATAAGCATCGGTACAGGTAAATGGTATTTTTTTTCTTGGGGTGTGTGCCTGTAAATAAGTATTTAATTCAGCTGCCCACATACATGCACAAGGAAGTGTGCGATTTAATTTTTTTCTTATTTTACCCACAGTCCAGTGTGTTTTGTAAGCATAACAACTTATTAAAACTTTCTTGACAAAAATGATTTTTCAGAATTAATTATACTTAATGTCTGCATTAGCTATGTCAAGTTTAGGACTTTTAGAATATAGTATAACTTATTGTCTTCGGAATTTAATTTTGATTCAATTATCACTTATTTCTAATTTTATTCTTTGATGATGAAACAAAATAGATATTCTGAATATTAACTGATGGATTGTGTTCTTAAGATCTTCAGTTGATCCCTTATTATAACACAAACATATACTTAATACTGTATATCAAACACACTGTTGATGTGCAAAATTATTGTATGTATATAGTAATGAAACAATTAACATATTATATCTTGACTTTATCTGAGCAGCTACTAAATGCCATTGTTGTGCTGTTTTCCATTTATTGCTTCATTTGGTCATTATAATCTTCTGTAATATTCTCTTTATTAATATACGAGGAAACTGAGGCTCAGAGAGGCCAAGTAGCTTCTTACAGTAACACAGCTAAGAAGCAGTGAGATGGGATTCACACTCTAGCAGTCTAACTCCACAGCCTGTCCTTTTAACCATTAGACAGATTAGCTTGTTGGAGAAAAAGCCTGACTGTCATGCAGCCAGGTAGGTGTTTGTGTCTTTTTCTAATACCAGCATTAAAAGTGAAAGTGAGTTCTATATGGAAAAAGGATTTGTTTTAATTCATTCTGTTCAGTGGAGAGCCTGTGGTGTGCAGGGTATGGTATCAGGAGTCCAGAGACACAAAGAATCAGATCTAACCACCTCTGCCTTCAAAGAGCTATAGTGTTCTTCAGGTGGCGCTGCATGACCCCAGGTCTTGAAAACCCATGCAGGGTGCAGAAATGCCACACAGCTGGTGGGACGCTGTTCTGTTGGTTCCATTGGTGATGTCACTGAAAGAAATGATTGCACAGGAGATTTGAAAATAAAGCCCACTCAAGTGTTTATAGGACAGCACTGTGCCAGGTTTTAATTCTTCTCTTTTAATAACTTGCTTTTTGAGTCTTAAGTTTGAGACCAAAGACAATAAAGGAGTGACTAGTAATGAATTCGTTTGTACACAATATTCAGTTGAATGTTTGCTTATTTGATGACTAAAAATAAAAATGTTAATTGTATTATAGATATTCCTGGTTTTTAATATGAAGGTATTTATTGATGTTTCAATATTTAACCTGCAGCTTTTCAAGGTTCTGCATAGAAAGTGAAATAATTACAAGTAGTTTAAGGAAAAGATTCTTTACTTTTATACTGAGAAGAGTAGCCAGTAGCCAGTATGTAGGCTATTCTTCCAGTTGTGTCATAAAACGCTGCCAGGGTTATAAAGAAAATGTGTAAAGCTATCTCCTTGTCACCAAAATGGAGCTAGTGAACAGACATCTGCCTTAATGTTTATACTATTAAAATTATAATTAGGGTGTTTAACATATGCTGTAGTTGGCTTCCACAAATTTAGCCACACCTGATTTCTCAAATTTATTGAAATGCAAATGTTGTGGCTACTGGGAATTATTATTAGAAAGTTATTGGATTTTGCATATTTAATATGATTTCTTCCAAGAATGTAATTAAAGGTAACCTTTGCAGAATTGGAGGTTCTGCTAAATCTGTTCTAATTTCTTGGCTAATGTTAACTGCCAAGTAAATCTTAATGAAACGCAAATCAACACATCCATACATAGGAAGCACTAACCTAACACAACCCTTGGAAGAAAGCTGTTCTATCCTTGTAGACAGAGCTTAGGCAGGGATGGTTCTCTGACTTCTGAATGGTCATTAGCACATAGATTGTTTAATGTCGAAAGATAACACACAACCCACCTTTATCCACCATCATATGCCTGTCTCTATTTTGAGACAGTCAGGCAATATCCTCATCTGCAAGCAGAGCTCTGAAACACAGACAGCTCCCTGCTTCACCTTGCAGGCTTTAGAGTGTTGGGGGAAAAATAGCAGCCTATGAAATGGCTGCAGTGTGTGAATGTGAGTCTCTGTGCACATAAGGGTGTGTGTTTATATTAGTATGTATGAATATTTTGAGGGGTGTGCATGTACACGTATGTGGTATGTACATGTATGTGATGGAGGAAGACAAGTGTTCTAGTCTTTATTCTCTCTTCCATTTTAGGGCTTTCAGAATGCCAAGGAGATTACTATATCTTTTGGGAAATCTAGTCATTACTTAATGGAAAAAAAAACAGACATTTTAAAATTTAACAATTTTTAAATTAAAAAAAANGGGAAGAACTCAAAATCAGAGATGTTACTTCATTTGCCCAGATTACATTGCACTGGTGGCTGCTCCTCTCAGTGATTCCTTCTGAAATTTTTAATTTTTTTTTTTTTTTTTTTTTTTTTTTTTGGTGTGTGTGTGTGGTACTGGCCATTGGCCAGGACCTTGCACATGCCAGGCAAGGGCTGTACCACTGAGTACCACCCCTGGCCCCTGAGGTTCTTTAGACATCAATTTGAGTGTGACCTGTGCATCCCTTAATTATACTTAAAGACTGGATTTATGGGCCTCTGTTTTTTATTGGGAAATGATTTCCACACAGTCAGTGTTTTTTGCTTGTCAGTCAGTGGCAATTTATGATGGGAGATTTGGCAGTAATTCAGTGCCATCACCTGGATTATGCATAGCTGTGAGGTGATGTAGAAGTAGATAATGAAGTTGATTACAGTACGATTTAAACAGAATTTATGTTTTGTAATTTTAATTAGTGGAAAGTGATTTTAATACAGCCTTCCAAAAATAATTACTAAGAGACAATTACTCATTGTTTTATGGGTTAATAATCTCTCTGCCTACTTGGTTTTATATTACCTAAAAGAGGGACTATCTGAAGAGTGTTATGGCCAGTAATTCAATTCTCTCTCTCTTTCTCTCTCTCAGTGCAATGAAACCTCATTCTTTTTTGAAGCTCGAAGTAAAACCGCTTGCAAGCATCTCTGGAAGTGCAGTGTAGAACATCATACATTTTTTAGGTATGTTAATTGGATAGTTTTGTTCATCATTTCTAATAAATGAAAATGGCATTTGTTTTTATAACAGGAATTGTGTCTGCAAACAGAAATTTTGAACTTTTCTCTTTTTAAATTTATTTTGGCTCAGTTCCCTGGATGGCATCATATACACATGTGTGCACATATGTACATGTTTGTATACATACATATATATATACATAACACAATGTAGACAGTACTTTTACTGTAAGAAAGGATCAATGGTAATTTCTTAAAGTTTATGTAGAAAATGCAGATTTGACTAGTACCTGTGTGGCATTGGTGGAAATCAAGTATTCTGCTGTGGACATAGTAAATTTGAAAAGCCTATGAGCCATCCATGTGGTAAGGCAATTGAGTATACAGGGCCCGGTGGAAAGGTGAAGGTTGATGGTGTAACTTTAGTAGATATTTAATAACAGAAGGGATTGGTTGAGATCAACTATGGAGAAAACAAAGAGAGGGAAACTCAGAAATCTAAGAACTGAGCTTTGGAGACAAGAAGAGCCAGCTGAGGGACATGAGAAGGAACAACCAGGAGAGGATATCATGTACTGGGAAATCAGGAATAGGGGCCAGCAACTATGTGCAGCCTTCCGGGGAGGGCAAGTAAGATGAGGACAGAGAACTGACTACTAGATTATGGGGACACTTTTTCCTTATTTCACATCCTTGTGTCATAAAGATCAGACAAAATTTTAGCAGGTAATGCTTTAAACTTTATTGCTTTATTTTTGTGTGTAAAAAAAATTAAAACAGGAATGAATTCTCCCCCTTATTCTGGGAGAATTTTGATTTGTATGGAACAATTTAGCTGAATTGCATAGTGTTGGAGAAGTATTTTTGTAAAATGACTAAAATCCTCTTTATGGTTTGTGTCAGGGGAGGAACATGGCCCAGGAAGCCTAAGACTTTGCCTGCAGGTCAGTGGGACAGGGCTGGGAGCCATGGCATTGTCTGTTGAAAGTGCCCTGGAATGGGAAGTCCATTATACAAACAAGAGCAAACCATCATATCTGTCATGAATGACTTATGAGAATCTTAGGAAGAGTAAATCAGCATAGTGACAAAATTCCCAAGATAACTTAAACAGAGAAAGTTAATTCACAACTAAAACCTCCTAGGACAATAATGTGTATGATAATTTTTAGAAAGTATGAGTATTTGGTATCATACATATGTAACATCCTAAGGTGTGGATGGGTGTCACATATGAACTTACAATAGCCAATTCCTGATTCTTTCACTAGCTTTGTTAAACTGTAATGCACTATTAAGTTTTCAATACAGCTTTTTGTTCAAATTTTGTACAAGTATCTGCATTTATGAGTCTTTGGTTTTCTTTTTAAAATTAATTAGAATGCCAGAAACAGAATCAAATTCATTGTCAAGAAAACTCAGCAAGTTTGGATCCATCGGTTATAAGCATCGGTACAGGTAAATGGTATTTTTTTTCTTGGGGTGTGTGCCTGTAAATAAGTATTTAATTCAGCTGCCCACATACATGCACAAGGAAGTGTGCGATTTAATTTTTTTCTTATTTTACCCACAGTCCAGTGTGTTTTGTAAGCATAACAACTTATTAAAACTTTCTTGACAAAAATGATTTTTCAGAATTAATTATACTTAATGTCTGCATTAGCTATGTCAAGTTTAGGACTTTTAGAATATAGTATAACTTATTGTCTTCGGAATTTAATTTTGATTCAATTATCACTTATTTCTAATTTTATTCTTTGATGATGAAACAAAATAGATATTCTGAATATTAACTGATGGATTGTGTTCTTAAGATCTTCAGTTGATCCCTTATTATAACACAAACATATACTTAATACTGTATATCAAACACACTGT